ATTTTAAAGTACATTCGTAAATGAACAATAACACAAGCACTTGATTAAAGTAGTATTCATAAGCACCGTTATCAGATTTAAACACAGTATATAACATAACTACTCGTTCAATTAATTAAACTATAAAAGTATCAACCCCAGACAACGATTGACCAACTTACAGACACAAGATTCGCCTTTCAACTCGTAAGATGGAGAATCGCACTCGCAGACTCTAAATGCCACTGTAGTGCATTTTCCTGTGTACCCTGCGCCTGTGCATTCACCGTCTCCAGTGCACCGTTTGCCTGGTGCTAAATAAGTTGGTTATATATATATATATATATATATATATATATATATATATATATATATATATATATATATATATTGCATACACAAAGAGAGAAATGAGAATTAAAAAGAATTAAGTCACACAACGTACCTACGACCGATAGAGTTAGAGCGTCACTGGTGCTTGAGACACCATTGTATGTGTAAGTGCAGGTGTAGATGCCATCATCTATAGCAGCTTTTGCTCCAGTTATTGTGATAGTGTCGTTTGTGCTATAACTGGTATTGTCATCTCTGTAATGAGTACGAAAGTTTGTGAAATTGATGGACGTTTATACCCATGTTAATTATCCCCCCCGCCCCCTAACTAATAAACTAGTAAACTAAATCATACTAGAAATGGGCATAAATTTCTGTGCTTTACTGTACAAATTACATTCTAGAGTTTTTGTGAATATATATATATATATATATATATATATATATATATATATATATATATATATATATATACAAATATATATTTCATATGTATCTCAGGATAATTTTCTTCCCTACTATAATTTCACGCAAATGCCACTGTTTTTTTAACCTACTTTCATTCACTTAGATCATTTTAGACTCTAATGTGCAAAAATTAATTTCCTTCTTACTTTTTCCACACGTACGTCACTCCTGTGTTATCACTTGAACCAGTGTCACATTTGAGATCATAGTCACCCCCTGCACCAAAAATTTTTCCAGCAGGATCACGGGTGATTGTCGGTTTTATAACTGATACAAATACAATTTTAATTAAATTGTAAATTAAAATTTTAAAATAAAATGAACACAAACTAAAGAAGAATAATTCAAACACTGTTGATTATTGATTTAACATATTTGTTAAGATCAGATACGTTTATAGATAAACGTGCGTAGTCACATTTAATTATGAACATCTTTAGTTTCTACACAAAAGCAGTATTATTATTTAAGGAAAAACATACGTACATGGTGAATATAAATATACATCTAAAAAGTGCTTTTCTGAAAGCATTGTTTTTAAAATGATAATTAAAATGATACTTGAAATGATAATAAAAATCTGTCAAAAAAACTATTATGATACACTTTAACTATACTGATAAAAACTTACAAACACAAGCTTCACCGTACTTCTTGTAATGAGGTGTGCATGTGCAAACTTTTGGTGATGTTGTAGTACACGTTCCTGTGTATCCAGTGCCTGTACAGTCACTGTCTTGTGTACACCGTTTACCTGGCGCTAAATTAATTAGATATTTTTGTGTTTTATTGTGCTGTATTACACAATAAAATATCTTTTATATAAGATATTTTTTTCATAATATATATTTATTTGTTATATAATTGAAAAATTCGTATACGTTTTCATATATATATTTATATGTAAATGTGTTTAAATACATACATACATACATTCATATATATATATATATATATATATATATATATATATATATATATATATATATATATATATATATATATATATAACCAATCTGGGAATCGTCATCACAAAGCATAAATGCAAATAGATTTTGTCCTTTTAGTGATACAAAATTTGGAAAATTAACTAAAAAATGAAATTTGCATTATCAGATGCTAAACGAGACCAATGTTAAATTTATTTATACTTTCATATGAATGTGACATTTCTAACCTTCTACACTTATAGTGAATGCATCACTCGTGCTTGAGTCTCCGCTTAACGTTATAGTGCAAGTGTAGTTGCCACTATTTGAGGCTGCTGTTGCTCCTGTTATTCTGTTGGTTTCTGTTGTACTGGTAATATTACCACCGTCCCTGGAAGAATACGTTATATTTAAAGTTGTAAAATTAATGTCTGTTATATGCCAGATTTTTCATTTTCAATCATTAAAACTTTGATACCTTCTTAAAACAGTTGACATTGAATAAGAGCTCATAATTTAACTATATCTGTATATTTACATACAATAATTGTCTAAATAGTAAGACAGCTAACACTCTCTCTTTAACGTCGAGATGTAGATGTAGATGCTTACATTTAATGTTAGATCAACTTTTCTAATAAAAGTAGTTAAAAATTGACTAAAATACCTAAGTCATGACAGTCATTTGTTTACTTTTTATAATAGTATTGTTATGTAACAAATACATTTTGTATTTCCTCCAACGCTACGATGTGTATTGTACAAATAGGGCCTATATCTTAAAACGTTAATATCCTTATGATCCTACATTTCTTATTACATAACTTTAAAAAAAAAATTCAATACTAATTAATACTTTTAAATGTTATATATTTATGGTAGATATATTGATATATAATATATTCAAATCAAAATGAATTTCCAGTTTTTTGTATTTTTTTTTGTCAAATTATTTATTTAGAAGGTAACTCATATATAGGGGCGTAGCAACACACCAAATATAAACTACGTAAAGTAATGCTGGAATGGAGCGGTTACAGTGCACAAGTATGGCAAACAAATGTCTTTTCGGTTCAAAATTACTCTAAAATCACCCGAAAACAGGCAAAAAAATTGATATTTACAAAAATAAATTTTAAAAATTTACAACTGACACAACAAGTGAATAAACTTCTTTCGTAGCCAAATTTATAACAGACACTTCATAAGAATGTTTTTCTAAAGCTAACCTAATTTTCTTATTTATCAACCAAGGCAGCAAATAAATTGTCCTCTGTACTAACCAACGACAAGTGTGTTTCCCACATTTATATTGCTTCAAATATAAAAAAAAAATGCGTTTTTATAATCGACATGTCTTTTCTAGCTCACCATTGTAACAGTACTTTGGTCTTACTTTTTCCAGAGATATGTCAGTCCAGTGTTATCGGCAGTGTTGCACTTGAGAGTGTAGTCACCGCCTTCAACATATATTGTGCCAGTAGTCTCTCGGCTGATTGTTGGTTTCTTCACTGAGAAACATTAAATTTACAACAGTTATTTGGAACGGTTTAATAATTAGACTTTTATAATGTTAATGTATAATATATTAGGTCGTCCTTAGACTTTGCATTGCTAGGTAAAAAGGTAGATGGTTCACAATTTTGTGCGGATGTTATAAACTGAATTTTAGACATTATTTCACGATCAAAAGAGTTAATTTTTTGTTACTGGAATAGAAATATATTTATATACTTCATGTTGGCCGAGTTCAGAAAATACAAAAGCTAAAGGTGCAATAAAAACATCTCAAAATTGTCTTCAAGCGATAAAATTTTGTATAAACATATATGTGCAAAACAGATAATTACTTTACTAAACTTAAGTCGATCATATTATTTATATTGTAATAGGCAATATAGTTATCATGGATGTGGAAAATCGTAGACATAGTCTTCAATACGTTTTAGGATTTAAATACACACGTGAAATTTGTTTTAAAATGTGATTGTTTTTATTCGAAACGTATTGAATTAAAAATATATCAAATCTACTTATACTAATATAGCCTATGGCATAAAAAATATTATCTTGTATCATTCAACGTTTTGGGGCTATCACTACACATAAAGACTTACTGCTACAAACTTCACTCAAAAGTTCGTATTGCAATGTACACATGCAGACATTTGGTGATGTTGAAGAACATGTTCCCGTATATCCTGACCCAGTGCATTCACTGTGTAATGTACACCGTTTACCTGGAGCTAAATTAAAAATAGACACAATAATCATAAATATAACAATACATATATAGTCTATATATATAGTCTATATTTGAATGAGTAAGTAAATGGTGATTGGCTGTGCTTAGATCCTAACTTTAAAACAGTTTAAGTAGTTTCATGTCATGAAAACCGTGCGGCGTCAAAACGACCCTTTTATATAACGGCTCCCGTTATATAGGCTCCCGACAAAAGGGCTCCAGTCAATAAGGCTCCTGACAAATAGGCTCCCGTCATTTTGACTCCCGACATATAGGCTCCCGTCATTTAGTTTTTTCCACAAAACGGCCCCCGTCATTACGACTCCCGACAAATAGGCTAGCGTCAATTTGGCTCACGACAAACGGACCACTGACAATACCGTTTCTGTAGAGACTAAGTCTCCCGGCAAAGCGGTCTCGTTGAATATGACACCTGCCAGTGGGACCCCTTCATCAATATTCTTTAGAGTTAGCTTACCCAACACTCTTATGTAATACAACGTATGCATCTCTTGTTCGGCAGGCCTTATTTTTATATTAGTTTATCTATTATAAAATATAGTATGTTTTAATTTAGGGTCATCTATCTATGACTTCAATAATTGAGTCAGTTATAGGCTGTTCCAATATGTCGGGAGCCCATTTGTCGGTAGCCAATATGTCATGAGCCCATTTTGTCGGGAGCAAATTTGTTGTGAGCCCTTATGCCGGGTGCCAATATGTCGGGAGCCACTTTGTCGGGAGCCAGTATGTCCTGAGCCTATTTGTCGGGAGCCAATATGACGAGAGTCCATTTGTCGGGAGCCTAAATGTCGGGAGCTCATTTGTCGGGAGCCTATATGTCGCGAGCCAATATAACGGGAGCCCATACTTTATTACTAACCATCGACGGTTATAGGGAAGGCATCGCTTGTGCTTGAGACCCCGCTGTACGTGATGGTGCAGGTGTAGCTTCCAGCATCTTTGGCTGTGGTTGCTCCAGTTATAGTGTAAGTCTCAGATGATGGAGTTAAATTATCATTGTCTCTGAAAGTATTTTGATTTTGTTAATTATATTTCATGAATATTATAGTAATGCTTTTATGTTGGTGTAGGTATATTTGTTGCTTCTGTTTGAGGTTTGAGTTTCCTCTCCTAGATGGGTTGCTGGCCCCAGCTATCCAGCCACCTCTGCTTATTGTCTTGAACTCGGTACTTTTTAAAAACAACAATTATGATAATTACCAACCTGACAACAACGTCTGCAGTACATCGACAAGTGAGTTCTATTTAAAATTTTATCTTGTTGCCCGTTAAAATGATAGATTTTTTTTATTCCAATGAACTGTTACATGATTTTTTTTCAGAGATAGTTAATTCATATAAAAAGATTCTAGGTAGGCCTTTATATAAATAGCTAAAACCAATGATTTTTTTTTCTGTCTCATATGCTACATTGTGTTTGACTTACTTTTTCCAAAGGAATGTCACTCCTGTGGTATTACTTGAACCAATATCACACATTAGAATGTAGTCACCACCTTCACCATATATAGAGCCAGCAGTCATTCTGATAATTGTTGGTTTAACAACTGAAATAGTAGATTTGTCGGATATAATTATTATTTAGCAGTTGTGTTTTATCTTTATACAATTAAACAAGCTACTCATCTTTATATAAACCACACATAAAATTGTCATTTAGAATTCGTCATGTAATATTCCACCTTGTCCGTTACACATTAAAATTTACACTTAACCTGAACTTAATATTGAACTTATACTAGTATTGCAATGCTAGCATTAAAACTTACAGACACACGATTCGCCAATCAGCTTGTAATGAGCTGTGCACGAGCAGAATTTTAGTGTTGTTGTGGTACATGTTCCTGTGTACCCATTGCCTGTACAGTCAGTGTTTGTTGTACACCGTTTACCTGGAGCTATGTTTGTTAGATACAATGGTATTTAGATTGATTTAGGGTATAGAGCAATTATTGTTTCATATGTATTTATATCTAAATATACAGCCTATATTTATTTTTTCATTATATAATTTATATGAATATAGTAATATACAATGTCTGTATTTATATTTTTTGGGCCTAAATGTTAATTAGTTGAAATGGTCATTCCTCACGTTTTAATTCATTCGTTTTACATTACTTAACGTAAACATGTTTCTAGATAACAGTAATTTTGCAATCGCAAAAAAAATTTACATTTTGACTGTTCAACATTTTATCATATTGATTTTTCCGGACGTATTTGAATATAGCAGTAACGTCTTTTTTCCCTAAATATTTAATTTATAGTACAGTTAAGTTATACGTTTTAATATCAAATTCTCAAAAACTAACCTGAAACTGTAACAGGAAACGAAAGACTTGTCGATGAATCTCCATTGTAGGTAATTGTGCAGGTGTAGCTTCCACCATCTTTGGCTGCTGTTACTCCAGTTATGGTGTAAGTTTCAGATACAATAGTAGTATCATTACCGTCTCTGTAAGTTTTAGATTATGTTAATTATTTTACATTAACATTGCAGTAAAAGTGTGTGTACTTAGCATTGTGTTTCGTAATATGTATGTCTCTAACCTAAATGTCAAACATAAAGTATTGGTTTCAATAAATCTATTTTAAACGCTAAACATTGTCTGACAATATTAATTAGAACAGAGATGGTGTAATAAAGCAGTTGTAACTCAGGGTAATGTAGTGCCCTACTGCTTTCTGACGATCACCAACACAATTTAAGATAAAATATGTAGGCCTATGCAAACTGTAATGATATAAGAAAAGAAAACACAACCAAAGAAAAGACTACTTTATTATTAATTTTTCTGAGAGTAAACTTAAATTGTCAGCTAAATGTTAAATAAATTATAAAAATCTTTGACAACCAAATAATAATTATTTTAATAAAGTTGAAAACAATTAAATTAATTTTCTGACAGTTTAACCGGAAATTTTACAACGAATGACAATGTCGTGCACGTACACGTACACGTACACGTACACGTACACGTACACGTACACGTACACGTACACGTACACGTACACGTACACGTACACGTACACGTACACGTACACGTACACGTACACGTACACGTACACGTACACGTACACGTACACGTACACCTACACCTACACCTACACCTACACCTACGCCTACGCCTACGCCTACACCTACACCTTCACATACACCCACACCCACAACCACAACCACAACCACAACTACACCCACACACAAACGTACACGCACATACACACGCACACGTATAAACACACGCACACTTACTTGCTCCAAACGTATGTCATGCCCGTATTTATACTCGAATCAGTGTTGCAAATAAGGGCGTAATCGCCTCCTTCAGCATACACATCGCCAGCAGTCACACGGCTGATTGATGGCGTTATAACTAACAATCATACAGCATATTATACACGTTTTTAACAGTAGGCTTATCAACATTTTGAACAATATAAAATTCATCATTGTTAACACATCATTCTTTGAACTTTGCTTTTTAAATGTCATTTTATAACTTGTATCATTTCCTTGATTGTAAATATTTAAAAAATGTTGATTTGATTATTTTAAAATAGAAAAATCAGATGTTATTATTTTAATTAGATTACGTAAAAAACAACTTACAGACACACGCTTCGCCTTTCAACTTGTAATGAGACAAGCAATCGCAGATTCTTGGTGATGTCAAAGAACATATTCCTGCATATTCTTTGAATAGACAGTTAGTGTCTTGTGTACATCGTTTGCCTGGAGCTATGTTGATAAAATCCTCTTATAATCAATTATGTTTAATGACGTTTTACAAAACTGTTAGTTGTATAAATATAATGTATAAAATATTTTATCATATATAGATTTAAGTACATATTATATATATATATATATATATATATGTAAAAATACATTTTATATGTATTTATTACCCTGTTTATGAATCAATATTAGCTATTTATTTAGTATTTGTTAATTTGTGAGACCTTAAGATAGGATAGTAGATTGTAGGAATCTGGAAATATAGAGCTCTGATCCCTGACACAAATTTGTAAGACAGTAGAGAATTCTGTCACTTTGTGCTAAATCATAATGTTATAGGATTATTGAAACAGAAGAACTTTAAATTATCTGCTAATGTTTTTTTAGCAAGGACTTAAAAAATATATTATTTCATTATAATAGTTACGCTTTTATATCTGCCTGTCTATCCAAAACGTTCTAGAGAAAAAACTTTGGAAAATAAAAATTTTCACATTCAAACGGAACGAAACTTCCCACGACTGTGACGTCAAATGGAATATATAGGACAAAATATATATGCCAAAAAAAGTATGGCATCATTGATACTCGATAATAAAGACACTAACATTATGGGTCTCATCTTAAAAGTGGTCTGCGTGTACAGTTTCTTTCAGGCATCTCTTTGTGTAAATCCTATTCAAAAGCCGATTCTGTTTAACATTCCGTTTTTATTGACATTTTTTTGGTTTTGGTTTCAGTTTAGAGAAAAAGACAACACTATCAACTTAGCGACCCTTGTATTTCTCTCTCTCAACGAGCCATTTATCTAGTAGTATATATTATCGAATTTGAAATAAATAGTTCACATCTTACCTTCGATGGTTACATCTAACGCATCGCTTGTGCTTGAGACCCCGCTGTACGTGATGGTGCAGGTATAGTTACCATCATGTGTGGCTGCTGATGCTCCAGTAATTGTATACGATTTAGTGATAGCCGTATCAACTCCGTTTCTGTAAACATTTAGATATATACTAATGTTTTATGTCAGTTTATTACATGTACACTTCTATTCCGAGTCATTCACAAATATTAACATTTTTAAAACTTAATTTACTTTTATCAAACACCCAATCTAGTTTTATCTAATAGAAATCTATATTTCAGTTTGTCAATACATTCAGAAACAACTAAATTTAGATAGATGTATAGTTATTTTTTGTCCTTAAATGCGACCCCAGTGTGGTTTTGATCATTTAAATAGTGTACAAAGACAAAAAGACGAAAAAGTTAAAGTAAATTTATAACGTTGTTATGCACTTAAGAATTAATAATATAATCATATAGGCATGAAGGTAAACATATCATTATTGGAAAAGAAATTCAATCTAACAAGCAAAGCCACAACCAGCTGTTTTTACCCAACGTAAATATTTAAGTATACATAAACAAATTCAACACATTATTAATTTTAAAAAAAAACCCACCTAAAAACAGAGACGTATTTAATTATTTCTTAAGATTGTATAAAATTAATAAAAAAATAGTTTAAATTAACAAAAATTGAGGTGTATTCGCAAAAAACCCCTTACACTGTGTTTTTTAGGAAAATCCTGACAATTCTGTAAAGGTAGAACTATAATATGCGTGTTGTTGGAATACTATATATATATATATATATATATATATATATATATATATATATATATATATATATATATATATATATATATATACATATACATATACATATATATATATATATATATATATATATATATATAAATTTAAATATATATATATATATATATATTATATATATATATATATATATATATATATATATATATATATATATATATATATATATATATATATTTAAAGTTGTTAATAAAGTCGGTGAAGTTGTGTTAGATTTCGTTTATTGTGTGACCATAAACAGCTGTGTGTTAAATAATTAACTTTTATATTTTATTAACTTTTTAATGCTAGAAATCGTATGAAATTTATTTTTATACATTTAAAACAAATTTAAACATAACAAATAAAATCTACTCAAATCTGTAACTTACGCATTTAATAAAAAAGTTTTTTTTTCATGTTTGGTTGTGTTTGTTTATGTTTGTTTGTATATGTATGCATTTTTGTTTGTATGTTTATTTTATATATCGTCTTACAATTTTTATAACCGTTCAACAATGGACATAATGCAATAGCGACAACCTCGTAATCTACATACCTTAAATACTCTACGCTCAACATAACACAATACGATCATATACCACTTCCGTGATACCTCTACTTGCACACCTTAGTTCGTCTAATTTGCACAGTATTATTTAAATATTTAAGAGTTCATAATTAAGACCACGGGAGCGTCCTTGCTTTGTCTGTCATGTTTGGCTTAGACTTACTTTTTCCAGACGAAGGTCACGCCAGTGACGTCAGCTGATCCAGTTTCACACGAGAGAGTGTAGTCACCGCCTTCACCAAAAATGGTTCCAGATGGATCACGGGTAATCGTGGGCTTCACAACTGTTCAACAGGATATTTTACACGATTTAACACAGTCTTTTAAAGAAGTGCAGTTTATTTAAGGTAATTTAAGTAAAGTTAGATCACGCTTCTGAGCAAGACTGATTGGCATGTCATGTACTACTGACTACTGCAGAAATTATAAATCATACCAGACGGGTTAAGGACGTTACAAAATGTAATTTATTTTTTGTTTTTCATTGCCGAAAACACCATGCACCTTTTGAAGTATCCTAATTTGTACATTCCTTTTCGGGAATAACAGTAACTCGTCTGGTAACTAGCCAGGAGGTCTTAAGTTCGAATCTTGGTTCGAACTTGTGATTGTATGCCCACACTGCTGTAGAGGGTACCTAACTGACGTTAGGGAAAGTAAAGGCGGCTGTGTATAGTGCTGACCACACCATCTATGTAGGTCTTATATGCCGAGGTCAAGAAACATGAACTCTACTTCATTTTACCCAGTAGATTGCTAGGAATAAAGAGGAATCTATAATTTGTATACATTAATTTTTATAATGTATACGTATAAATGATAACTGTATCGGTTTTACTAAATGTCTGTTACGTTTTGTCCAAGTCATATATAATGTAGGCTCAAATAAAGCTCCAAGACAGGAAGAGGATGAAAAATGGACGCCAGCGTGAAAAGTCTCAAAGGTATTTGAGAGGCCCATAAATTAATTTAAAAATCATGCACGGCGTAGTTACAACTAACTTGGTTATAAAATCCTGTCTGGTTTTTTTCGGACTTTACTAAATATTGGATGTATTTGATGTTTTTTATTATTTTCGGTAACTAAATAATAATAATAAAAAAAAAAAAAAAAAAAAAAACAATTTGGTTTTCACGTGTAATAGCGACATAAACAATGGCATCCATAAATGTTTATTGTACACACTGTAAGCTAAAAGAAGAAAAACTAGGTCATGGGGTATAAATTTGCTTTGTTTGTTAAAAGCTTGATCTGCAATGTTTTGTAAACAAACAAAAAAAACTATAAAGTGGGGCTGTCAGAAATCGATCAAGGAGTTCCTGTACAGCCAATCAATGTTTGTCTTACGAAAGTGAAACATCGGGTTATAACTTATAATTGTACAAGCTGATAATTATATATAATTTGAAACACAACTGTCCAAGTCCTACAATCCTATAAATATATTCATACGACGCTATTAATAACAAGCCTTAATTTTTCATCATGTTATTTTGATTTCATTCAATTAATCTGTTACATTAAACACTGAAAACCTAATGAATATTTACTAAACACTAAAACACTTACGACTGCAGGTTTCTCCTCGCGCAACAAAATTCTTATCACAGGTACAGACTTGAGGTGAACCGGAGGGGCATTGACCTGTGTACCCGTTGCCTGTGCAGGTACTGGCTGATGAACATCGTTTTCCTGGTGCTATATATTAAAATTATATATATATATATATATATATATATATATATATATATATATATATATATATATATATATATATATGCTTGTTGACTTTCATCTCCCCCGTCCCCAATATCACACATCGTCACAAAAAGCCGGACCCGGGCATGAAATATGACGTCAAACCTCAGCCTACATATTTTTTGTCTTTTAAAAGCACCAAAGTTCTCAACACCAAGAACATTGGCTAAACAATTCTTTATTCTAATCCATCCTATGTTATTCAATTTAATGTAAGCAGTGAAACAATAAATAAATGACAAAAAAACAGTGTCATATACCATATAGTTAAATAAGTATATACAAGAATAATTCAGGGAGATCACTAATTTTATTGTTATTGTTTCATGATTGCCTCAAAATAAAAATGAACTATTATTTATTCATTATTTGTGTTTCTTAGAGAGAACGAAGTACTCACTTTCAACCTAGTTGACTGACAACAAAGACAATGACGAACAATACATGGTTACAACATAAATACGCAACTCGTATACTTGAATATATATTAAACATGATTGCATGATCCAAGGTCAAGGTCAAGCTGTAAATGACAAACAAATACAAAAGACGTAAACGCGACGTTTTAACCAACGAAGTAGTTACATATTTTAAAAAAAACTAATGTAAAAGATTATGCACATGTTTGTACTAAATAAAGTAATTTGCCACCAAAACAGGATTTGACTTCTAAACTGGAAGAACCAGATGTTTGTGTGAAAGAGAGACGAGCGCACAAGCCAAATTGATAGCTAAATGATGCGGATAGAAGACAAACATGGAGTTAGCTTACTCAGTTATACTAAACTGATGTTTACTATAGGGCTGGTAAGTAGGTCACCAAACAGTTCTATAGCTCATGCAGGATTTATTGCTCCGTAGAACTGGTTGGTGACCTACTTACAAGCCCTATAACTCCAAGACTAAGTGCAATGAACTTGAAATGAGGATGGCTACCGGGTTGGCGAAAAGTTTACTTTAGGCGAAATCTTCGAAGAAAACGATTGAACTTTGAGAACAGTGGCAGTAAAATGTACCATATAAGTTGTGGTACACTATGGAATTTGACATTGGATGTGTGTTCATTTATGTACTATTTTGGGAGCAATGATTTTACATATAGAAATAAAGTGTTGTTATCTGGAAACTGCGGTCAGAGTGTGTTTATCATTCGGACCTAAGCCAGCGTCAAATGACGTGTCCGCTTCCAAGGAGTGGACGAGAACACGCACGACTAGCAGCTATTATATCTCTGCCGCATTTAGTCGCTGCGCTAAAAGGGTTGAATACAACCAAACAAATAACGTATTAAGTCTGTCACACACATACACATATACACTCATATATATATATATATATATATATATATATATATATATATATATATATATATATATATATATATATATATATATATGATAGAAGCGTTACTAGCCTGCGACTGTTACAGTAAACGAATCGCTTTTGCTTGAGGCAAAGTTGTACGTGTTAGTGCAGGTGTAGTCGCCATCATGAGTAGTTGAATCTGCATTTTTAATTGAGTAGGACTTTGTTGTAACGCCAGTGTCGACATCACCTCTGGAATAACACAACATTGAGAAAATTCTACTGCAAATTCTGACTAAGAATTTGTATTTCAGTATTAGTATCTCAACATGTTTATTTTAGTAAAAAAATAGTTAGGACAGGTTACCATTACATAGGTAAGCTCTTCGTAAAAGAGCTGATTTTGTTTTACTTTGTTCTCAACTATTTTTCAATTACGATTTAGTAAGAAACCAAAGCCCTTATATGCTGGAAGTGACATTCCAACTCTGATTGTAATGTAAGAATAGTAGCCTTTGTCGGCTAAGCTTTGCTTCAGCCGTTTATACCCATGTCTAAATTTAAATTATAAATGATACATTAATGAGTGATTACGTTTTCATAAAAATAAACAGTAATGCATCAATCTACGCACACAGCCGCGACACGTACACTTTTACCTGATTATAAAATTTAACTTACATATCACTTGTCATTTCTCGATAACAATGTTCATTACGCTAAAATAATGAACATCGGAGTCAAGTCATTATGTCTAGAGTCGTGTTTTTTTTCCTCTTTAAATACTCCTATAACAATTTCTATAATCTCCATCCCTATAGAAATAGCATTCCTTATTCATATCCCCCTATCCGCAAACATTTATCTCATCCATTATTCCTTATCCTTTATACAATAATATACTCTACAAGTACTATAAAAACAAATCCCACCACTGCCTAATAAATGTTTAAATAATATGTAGGCCTTCACGATCGCCATTAATATTAAAATCTTAATTAAAGTCGTTAGAACTTTGTCAGTAAGCATTCAAACAAAATTCAAACTTAATCTAAAAACCGAAATATGACGTTTTACTCGGGCTTATGACGTTACTCTTTGCCATTCACAGAGGCGCAGCGAGGGGGGGGGGACATATGTCCCCGGGCGATGACCTTAGGGGGCGCCAAAATGGGTTGGAAAGACAAATTGAAAATTTGAAGGGGGTGGAAATCGAAAGTCTGAGGGGAGGGTGCAAATCGAAAGTTTGAGGGGGGGGGGGGTGCAAATCGAAAGTTTGTCCCAGGGCGCCGGGAAGGGTCGCTACGCATCTGGCCATTCACAGCTTGGTCATTAACCCCCCCCCCCCCCTCCCTCCATGTCAACCACCACACTGCATACCTTCCTACAACAGAGTAAACAATATACCAATACACTGCTTTTCCTGAATACATCTACCAATCCCTAACTCTGTTCCTACAAAAATAATCTCTTAGATGCAATAAATAGAAAAAAAAAATTCTTTTCTTTTAAAAGTATAATAATGCACTACTATTTAAATAACTATAAAGAAAGAGTAAATCAATAATTATGAATTCAATACCTTTACAGAAATACAAAAATGTATTGAGTAGCCCACGCTTTTCTTTAGAGTTATTTAAATACTGATGCTTTGTAAAATTACCTTTAACAGTCCTATATTTTCTCCTTTTTACTTGCTCGTATACGAAGTATAAAGGAGGTATTGTAATCGTGCGAAAAATCGAGTCGGAAAAACATAATTTTGCAATTCGGTTAGTATGTCTGTGCGTGTGTATGTGTGTGTGTGTGTGTTTATGTGTATGTGTCTGTCTGTCTGTCTGTCTGTCTGTGAACACGATAACTTGAGTACTGTTGCGGTTAGGTTAACGAAATTTCATGTGTATATGGTGTATCAAATTTTTGTTCTGTGTCAACTTCCAGCGGTTTCCGGTGACCGGTAGTCAAGCTTATTCTGCTTTCGGATTTGGTCCGACTGCCGGTGCGGTTGAAAATGTATAACATAATCGATATCTTGTACACACAACTAAAATTATTGTTCGTATTTATTTGAAACCTGATCATAATTATTCTACTCATATTATTTCATACGTTTCAAAATAACTAAATCGCTAAACGTATTTGTTTGTTTCAAAATTAGGACGTGTTGCATTTTGGGCGAATTTTGTGTTAATGTAAGAGATATGTTGTACAATTTTACTTTTTCCACACGTAGGTCCAACCAGATGTTATACTTGAGTCAGAATTGCACTCCAGAGTGTAGTCTCCACCTCCGGCAAAGATGATTCCAGAAGGTACAGTGGAGATGGTTGGTTTCATTACTGTTAAAATTAAAGATAATTTAGTTATTTTTAACGTTGCTGAAAAAATGCTTATTAATTGGGTACATTAAAAACATTAAAAGTAACGTATCAAATAATTTAGAAAGACAGCACAGTTACATCTTTTAGCGTACAAGAGCGATTTCATAATTTAAAAACTGTCTCTCACTTCAGAAATATGTAAACAATTATATGGTTGTAGTTGTAAATAACATATAGTTTTCATTTTTTACGGGATTAAACCGCGTATACCGCTACCCTAATCTAGGTTTTAGCACCTTTTTATGAGTTTTTCAAACTTTTCTTATGCACAAGTTCTCAACAATTAGCATGTAGTAATTCGAATAGTATTGTCATGACACTAGTCATAAATAGGTTACAGGTCATGCTGGCGTTAGAGGATAGCTTCGGTCAGGTTGAATAGGTAGGTCAGGTAGATTTTGGTCAGTCAAGGAGAACCAATAGAATTATAGCTGGAGATAACAGTGTGACGGTCAGCTGACTATTGCCTTGTGGGTAGTTGGAGACAGGTGGCGTTAGTGATGTGTTGATGAGTTGAGTGTTAGCTGTCTAAGTTTAGGAAGCAGCCTGTTAGATATTGTTAGGAGATAGTTGAATCTCACTGCAGATTAGTTAGATTGGAGTAGAGAAATTTGTATAAACTAGTTAGTAAAAAGAGTAGAAGATCAATTTGTGTTGGAATAGAGAATATTGTCTATCTTGAATTGGACTTGTGTTATAATTCCACACACTGTGCCAGGCTTATATAAGGAGATTTGAATGTGTTTGGGTATAAATGACAATATACCAATAACAGATCTATATATAACTCCAAAACAACCTTCCCTTCACAAGTAGGCCCTATACACAATCCGAAAAATGCATTTATGATAATAGGGTTTAAATGTACTGTCAAAAACACATGGAACCGCCACAAAAAAATAAGATGAAAAAAATAATTTGCTTTATTTTATAAAAGCATTGGTCTTTACTTTTTAATGCTAATCATTTTGGCGACCAATTCTTTTATTATTATTTTTTTATACTCTTACGGCAGAAGTGGTAAAAATGATAATTTTGGATAAGTTGGTAGAGAAAATAAAAAAAAAAATATATTTTACAGTTATAATTACTGCCTGGTGTAAAAGAAAGCCATTAAAATTGCACAGAGTCTGCTAAAGAGTTTCTTTAAAATCAAAATGATTCCTTTAGACATATTCTGACATGCATAATAGATAATAGCAGATTCAAGTGGTAATCGCCATGCATTGCAGTGAGAGTAATTAATTAGTTTTTGTACAGACAATGTTGAATTGAAAATATTTTGGTATTGATCCTACATACCAACTGAAAATTAAAATAAATTACTTTTCAAATATGAAATTAACCTACCATTTTAAACAATGTAATTGGCAGTT